TGGCGGCCCCATCCCTGGCAGTGTTGAAGGGCAGGTTGGATGGGGCTTGGAGCAGCCTGGGCTGCTGGGAGGTGTCCCTGCCCATGCAGGGGATCTAGATGGTTTTTAAGGTGTCTTCCAGCCCAAACCATTCTATGATTCTATGAAAACTCAGCCAGAGATTCTCCTCACCTGCCCTTTGGAATTACCTCCACAACATTCCTACACAAGGTTTCTAAATGTGTTGGTGTTTATTTTTTCTCCTCTTCCAATCTCTGTGGTTTATTCCCAAAGCTACCATCTGGCCAGTGATGAATTTAAGGCTCCTGTAAATCCTACAACTCTCATAATAAAATTTTTTATAAGGTCTACCAAGCAACTCTCCCCTCTTTTTTAACTAAAGGCCTAAGATGCAGTTCCCTCAGGTTTCTACATCTATGATGCTCCAAATTATGCCACAAGACACACAGCACTCAGGGCTGACCCTCCTAGAGGTGCAGCAGACAGACACACACAGGAACTCTCTACTGTGGCACACAGAGAGAGTCATCTCCCCTTCTCTCAAAAGGTCAACAGACCCCCACTAAAGAACAGCTCCAGACCAAGGGGCTTCTCCACATCAAATGTTTCCATCATATTATTGAAAAAACATTTTGATTCCACTCCACTTCTGATACAAAGCAACTTTATAGAAGACCAAAGGCCCACCAACCTCTCCCAAGCACAAACATGAGGCTGCCTCAGTTCCCATCCTTTAACCCACACCAGCCCTTACAGCAACCAGGTTAAACCTCCTCAGATTTCATTTCTATCTTAGCCCTGTCTCAACCTCTCCAACCCAAAGCAGACACATCTACACTTCTCAAACCTTGCTCCCCTACCCTCCCAGGGTGCCCTGCCCCACCTCTGGGGTGACCTCTCCTCTGTCCCCCTTCTTTCCTTCCACAGCTCACTCCCTTCTCCTCCCCTAAACCAGCCCCAAAACTCCCTGTCTGTTTCTTTACCCCAAGCTAGAACTCCCTCTTCCTAAAAAAAAAAACATTTCCATCCCTTTCTCTTCCTTTTCCCCAGCACAAAGCCAGTTTGCCTTCTCCTCACTCAAAACACAACACAGTCACCTGCTACACCTGATTTTTCCCTCAGTCTTTGTTCTTTTCCCAATACCACAAAACACCTCATTCTTTTCCTGTTCTTTACTATGGAAAGTCATAGGTTGGTCACCCAAGGTCCTCTTCTCTGCCAGGCCAGGCTCCACCACAGTGCTCACCACTCTCTCTGCCACAGCTCTAGGGCAAACTGATCTCTAGAGCTCTCTGACCTCTTCTACCTGGTACCCAGTGCTAGGATGTGTGGCAATGGTTCAAAGCTGCACCAGGGGATGTTTAGACTGGACATCAGGAAGCATTTCTTTACCAAGAGGGCGGTCAAACACTGCAACAAGCTTCCTAGAGAGGTGGGCAATACCTCATTCCTGTCAGGGTTCAAAAGGCATCTCAACAATGACCTTAATAAGATGCTTTAACTTGGTCAGCCCTGAATTGGCCCGGCAGTTCAACTAGATGGTCCCTGTAGATCCGTTCTAACTGAAACAGTTTCTTCTATTCAAACCCCCAGACCTTACCTCAGGCCAGACCTGCCTTCCTCCTTCATGCCCACCCTTCCCCTCTGAGTAACTCAGACACCCAAATCCCCATGCTCACTTTAAGCCAGATCCCCAGCCCCATTCCCTTCCCTAGACCAACCCCCAACCTCTCCACCCTCACCCTCCTCCCGTCCTTAGGCCAAACCACCGTTCCCACCCCCCGACACGGATCCTAGCAACCTCCACCTTTCCCTCTACCCTCGGCGGGACCCAGCCCATGTCCCCCCAAGCCCGTGTGTG